AAATTATTTAATTTGAAAAACAGAAGCAAAATTGAAGAAAAGAAACAAATTTAGTCACCTGTGGAATAATATTAAACAACCTAGTGTATGTATAAATGGAGTTTGAGAAGGAGATGAGAATGAGGAGACAAAAAGAATATTTGATGAAATACTGACCCAAAATATCTCAAATATGACATTAAAAGTCAACAAGAAGAATCTTAGTAAACTCGAGATAAAAAAAAAAATTCATACTTGGAAACGTCATGAATGAACTATTGAAAACCAAAGATAAAGAGAAAATTTTGAAATCAACCAGAGGGGTGAAAAAACAGATATTGCATACAGGGAGAAAATCATATGAGTAAAAGCTTCACATCAGAACTAGAGAGAGAAAAACATTACGGAACACATCTTTAAACTGATGAAAGAGAAGGAAAAAAAGATCAACTCAGAATTCTATATTCCTAAAAAAAAATCCTTCAATTCAGGTAAAATAAAGACATTTTCATATAAAAGAAAACAGATAAAATTTGTAACTAGCCAATGTACACAATGAGAAATCCTAAAGAATGTTCTTCACCATGAAGGGAAATGATACCAGATGAAAAACTAGAATCCACAGGTAAGAAGAAAGAACATTGGAAATGACAAGTCTGTGGGTAAATACAAAATATTGTTTTCTTTTTTTCCCATAAATTTACATAAATATAGCTTATGGTTAAAGTGAATAAGATTTTAGGAGAGATTTTATATTACACATTGCCTAAACATGTGGCAGCAATATTGAAAAACATCGAGAATGCATGAAATGATATTGTTAGTCTCCTGACTTTGTGAGGTAGTAAGGGTGAAATAGAAAATGGGAAGCATGAATTGTGAAGAAAGTGGGAAATGCCAGTTGCAAAATGAAAAATGTTTCGATATTAACTCTAAGTTGACTTTCATAAGTTAAAGACACAATTGTTAGCCCTAAAGCAGCCACTGGAAAACATATTAAAGGCAAATTAAAATGTCTAGGGGCGCCTGGGTGGCGCAGTCGGTTAAGCGTCCGACTTCAGCTCAGGTCACCATCTCGCGGTCCGTGAGTTCGAGCCCCGCGTCGGGCTCTGGGCTGATGGCTCAGAGCCTGGAGCCTGTTTCCGATTCTGTGTCTCCCTCTCTCTCTGCCCCTCCCCCGTTCATGCTCTGTCTCTGTCCCAAAAATAAATAAAAAACGTTGAAAAAAAATTAAAAAAAAATGTCTATATAAAAACTAAATTGAAAAAACCTTTCAATTAGGGTAAAAAAATTGGTGGATTAATCACACCGATTGTAAGGAAGATTTCTTTAAAAATGTAAGTGGAAGAAAAGGATAGAACAAAACATGCAAACATAAGTATAGGAACCTTGACCTGTCTATCTTAGTATTAGGCAAATCCAACTTCAGGATGAAGAGACATTTCATAATGGTAAAACAGCCAATTAATCAGGACTACATAATTCTAACTATGCATAGAAATTAATAGCATAGCTTTAAAATACTAAAAGAAATTAGGAGGGCAAAATGGAGAAATGAGGAACACCACAATTACAATTGAAGATGCTAATACCCCTCTCTCAGCATTTGAAGCAAGTAGACAAAATTATTAGGAAGAGTATTAGAAGACCTGAGCAATTGTGAACTAATTAATTTATGGAACGAATCATACCAAGTAAACTAAAGAGCACATAAAATAATCACCCATATAGATCATATACTGGGTCCTAAAATAGTTCTTAATATGTTTCACAGGGGAAAATCTTACAGTATTGTCTCTCACTAGAATGGAACTAAATTGGAAATCAACAACGAAATATATAGAAATTATCCAAATACTTGGAGGTTAAATAACAGTCTACTAAATGACCCATTGGCAACATAAAAAATCACATAGAACAATTCAAAATTATTTTGAATTTAATTATAACAAACAGTACAATATATATACTACACATTATTTGTTAAATTTGTTAAAACATTTTCTGAGCCATGAACTTGATACCTTGTTTTTCTGAAGAATTATTACAACTCCTACTTCTACTTTTTTTATTTTCTTAATGCATTGTTTTTGGGTTATGAAGAAGTAGAAACCTGTAGTTTCTCAATCTTGGAATTATTCACTTTGGGAATGAATAGTTAATTCTTTGTTGTGGGAGCTGTTCTGTGCTTTGCTGGAAGTGTAGGAGCATCCCTGGCTTCTTCCTTGCCAGCATTACCCCCACTCCCAGTTGTGACACTCAGATACAGTTCCAGACATTATTGAATGTTCCCAAGTGGTGGGGGGGGGGGGCGGTGAGAGCGTGAGAGGGTAGAGGATTAATCTCCCAGCATTGAAAACCAGAGTTAGAACATCATGTTTGTGGTAAGATAGATGTGGATGGATTTACAAACTGTGTATCTGCCAACTTTGTTTCCTTTGGAGTTTACTTAACTATTTTAAACTTTTATATTTATTCATAGATATACTTTGAAAAAAGACAATTTATACCAGGAGATTAACATTATGTTTGCCATCAAGTTAACTGTTAGCTTGTATGAAGTATTATTATTTCTGTTCAACTGTGTGAATATGAACTGTAAAGACACTCCCTAACTGAAATGACATCATGTGATAGCTAAACTACACTGAAAAGTTTACTTTAATCTTTATGGCTTAAAATCTTACTTATATGAACTTGTCTTTATGATTGAAATGTGTTAACCTTCATATATTTCTCATTAAAATATATTAACAATAGAAGTAGATTGGGGTTAAACAATATATTCTATTAAGTGTCAAAGATTCTCTTCTTGGAACTCTTGCTATCTGTGTGTCAAGATATATTCCACATCTGATTCTCAGTGTTCTCCATTGTGACATGAGAAAATATAAATTTTCTGGTAATTTCAATATGCAAAATATAAAGTCCTTTAAAAATTACAGGCCCATCAATAATCTTAAGAAATATATCTCCTTAAATTCTTTACAATCTCTAGAATTATAAGAAAGAATTTAAAACATATTAAAATGATTTAATATGGGCATAGCCTTTAGGCAGAGAACAAAATGAGATAGAAATAATTCTAATGCTTCTCCAGTAATGATGATCCTTCTTCAGCAGAAATTTGATGTTGAGAAGGCAAAAGATATTGCACAACTACAGGTAAATTAATAGCCCACAAATCTTAATATATATATATATATTTTTT